CTCTTGCTCTTCACTGATGAACTTATTCGTTCTTTCTGGGCTCAGCTTTGTGGGAGCCAGTGGCGATGACCTAGAACTTTTCAAAAATTGTGAAACCAGCTGCAGCTTGATTAACCAAGTAGGTACCTCAGGGGCTGTGTGGTCTGTGAACACCTGCCTTAACTCATCTGTAACAAATCTGCTGCTTGATTTCTTTAAAAAAAAATTCTTTTTTTCTTTCTTCAAGAAGACAAGAGGGTAGATGTCTTCCAGCCTAGGAGGAGAATTGCCAGGGCCGGGCAAAATTCCCCTGATTGCCCAAACAGACACCAACAGAGGCAGTGTGTACGTTTACTTTACTTGTCTCTGTTGCTTTAATTTGTGAGGGCGTTGCCAGAGAGCGGGGACCATTGTGCACGGTTCTCAGCTCTTCCTGTGTCATCTGCACACAGTATGTTTTAACAGTCCCTTTGTGAGGACTATTCTAGCCACTCCGTCGCTACGTGGAAGTAAAACCTTGATTGACTCAGATGTATTGGCAAAGTAGGGTGATGAAATGAGGGATGATCCTTTACTGGCTCTGCTCTTACAGTCGAAACAAAACTGTCTTAGCCCATTTGGGCTATTTTAACAAATAACCCAGACTGGCTTATAAACAATAAGAATTTTTTTCTCACAGTTCTGGAGGCTGGAGGTCCAGGATCAGGGTGCCAGCTTGATGGCGTTCTGGTGAGGGCCCTCTTCTGGATTGCAGACTGCTAACTTCTTACGTCCTGAGCTGGTAGAGAGCAGAGAGCAGCAATTTGCAAAGTGGCTCATGATTCTTAGGAAGGACACTAATCCATCCGGGGGGAGGGGTCCTACCCCCACGACATCAACTAAACCTCATTACGTCCCAAAGGCCCCATCTGCAAATACCATCACACTAGGGGGGTTAGGCATGTGAATTTTAGACACAGACATTCAGTCCAATGCAAAAACTGTGTTCATTTTCTGACTATGATTTAGTCATTTTCTGAGTATTGTACTTTTTATTTTCCCAGGTGATTCTGATGTACCTCCAGGGTCCCACTTTGAACATCTGTGGTATTTTGTAATGAACTAGTAGGAAATTGGGCTGAACTATTAATGGCCCTTGGATGCTACCTAACTTGGAAGGATTTGGGGACTTGTGTTAATCCCCAGCACCCCCTTGTTATCTTAGAATTTGCCCTTCTCTCTTTAAAACAAACAAACATTTAGCCAACTAACAAAAGTTTGGTCAGTGTAGGTCTTAGAGCACTCATTCTGCCATTTCTTGTTTTAAACATCAGGTCTACTTCTTGTGTCATAATTATTCTAAGGGCTTTTTACCGTATGTTGTAACAAGCTTTGTATGTGTGTTGTATATATGGTAACCCTTATTTCATGGGCTTTTCTCTGTTTATTATCTTGGAGTAGTTGTCATGGGCTGCCTTCCAAAATTCGTTTTTTAAATCAGATGTTTGGGTTTCAAAATATATTCTCCCAAAGAAATGGTGATAATATGATAGGTAGACTCAAATTCCTCAAAGTAGATCGAAAAGATCCAATAAACCTTTGGAATGAATTCTATAGTTGAGCACAGTGGTTATGCTGAAGTTCTCATCAGGCTTTTTTGCCAAGTATTCCTTTCCCCTACCTCCACCTGCACCCCAGCGCCATGGTTCTCTGTAAGTGGGAGATTGCTACAGTGAGAAAGAAATGTGGTGGTGGTGGGAGCTGTCCCTTGGCTGCCCCCACTTTGTCTGCTGTTTTGGTGATGAGTGTCTACCCACTGAGAAGACACAGCTAGGATGGGCTGTGAATTCAAATGAGTCAGCCCTGTTCTCAGACACTAAGTTTATCCATTGAAGAAGTTCTGTATTTATTCTGGGAACATAATAAGAACTCTTGGTGTGACGTTAATTAACTTATAATGGGAAAGGGAGCTACTGAAGAGAAGTAAAGAGTTTGGCTGGCAGTCCATTGACCTGACTTAATTACAAAGCAGCTTTCAAATGAATAGTCTACAAGTCAGCTCTATCCATTAGTGCTGCGTGCTCACAGGAGCCAAAGTCAGAAGGGGCTCGGGTTAGCTGGAGAGTTTGATGCTTGATGATAGAAGAGTGGGTGCCTGTTGCATGGACACCGAATTTAAAAAGCCATCAGGTATGATTAGGAAGGAGACAGGGGAGAGCATTACCAATAGAGACCAGCACAGCAAAAGCAGTGCGTCACTGGGCTGCTGATTCCATTCCAGCAAGGATTTCTGACTTTGTGCCCTGTAAACGCGAAATAAACTGTCACCTTTGAGGATTATGTGATAGCAGGGCAGTGCGAGCACTGGAAATCTACTCCTGTCTGAATTGGTAGAGCTGGTGTGTACGCTGTGGCTGTGAATATACAGTTGTGGAATTAGATGAGCAGGAGATGGAGGGGCAGCTCTGATAAAGAACTTCAGGGGAAATTAATCATAATCATAACTAGTCGTAATCATTATGAGTACAATTTCCTCTAACTTCTCTGGCCTTTAATGTCTCTAAGTACTCTTCAGCATTGCTGAGGAGTAAGTTTTTTTTTTTAACTGAAAAACAAGACTGAAAACGCTGTTACTGAAAACCCTGTTCTTTCTAAGGCTAAAGAAACCATGGACCCCAGGGCACTGCCAGCCTGTGTGATGAAACACCCAAATCTAAGCTGCTGAACTGGTGCCTCCTGTGTGGCCTGCTTCATGGGAGCAAATGAGCACAACAAATTAGTGCAGCAGACCTAAGTTTCACCCCCAGGAAGTACTGGTTCGCTGAAGTGGGCAGTAAACTGATAACCTGTAGCTCTACCAACAGATGCCCCAAAGAAGCTGCGGTCCATGTTCGTTTTCAGCTCCTGTTTTTCCTGCTCTCTCCTCTGTTTCTGCATACTCTCAGACTCACTAAGCTACCCCCAAGAATTTGCTGGATAATTTACCCAAACCCTGCTTTCCCCACAAGATCCCCTGTAATTGCTGGTTGGATGGGACGCAGCTCTTCTGGCCACCATGGTGATTGATACCCATTCCTCTCCTGGCGGTACCACTTTTCCTGAATCACACCATCTCCCAGCTCTGAAAGGTGGATTTCGATGATTTCTCTTACTGCTTCTAGCTCTAAAAGTCTCTAGTGAACTAGCCAAGACTAAAGACAGCTGCCATCTTGACTGACAGAAAATGACAGAGTGGGTGGCCCTGGAAGGGACATCAGATGTCATCTAGGCCAACCTTCTGACTGCATAGATGAGGATGTTGGGACTCAGAGCCCTGAGTACCTGCTCAAAGCCACACATCCAGTCAGTTACACATGCATCAAGACAGCTTTGTCTTGACTTTGCTTTTCAGAATTGATTAGCATGATGCATGATGACTCTGAAATTAAGTGTTTAGTAGGTGTAAGTCTCTTTACCAGGCATCTCTACTACAAAGTGATGCCTTGCTTGAATTTTTTCCTTACCTACCGAGTACCCCCTATTATGTTTTAGTTAAACATGGGAATAGAATCCTTAAAGGGTAAATGCCTTGGAATTTTGTTTCTTTAAATAAATGGCTGTGAATTGTGCTTCAGAGCTTGTCCCAAAATGTGGTCAGCACAGAGAATCACAAAGTTTCTTAGGCGTTCCACGAGGTCTTCCCGGGATGCTCCTTGGCGCGGGTACGAGCAGTTTCACGTCTTGAGGAGCGTTTGTTCATCAGCCAGCTCCCAACTTCACAGCGCAAAATGCTTCTGACTTACTCTGAGCCCTCTCGCTTCTCCATGCAAAGAAAAAAATGTCTTTAAACTGTACTCTGAATTGCCTGTGTGATCTTGGTTTACTTACTTGTTGGATAAGGTCTCCAGTGGGTGCCGTAAGACTATTTTCTCCGTGGGATTGGTGTTACTTTACTGTATAGACAGGAATCTTTGGTGAGGATATTGCCTCTGTGACCTGCTAAAGAAACATAAAATCTGCTACCTTGGCATCTTTGCAGCTGTGCAATCAAAAATAATTTGTTGAGTCAGTGGTTGAAAAGGTAACTCACTGTTGGTTGACGAGACAGCATAGGGGCAGTAACCTAGCCTTTTTCTCTTAAAAAAAAAAGGAAAGATTCCTGTTAAAATTCCTTAGTTTCTCCAATGTGTAGACAAGTATAAAGAATGATACAACACGTTCCCTCTGCCCATCACCATGAAGTCTAGCTACCAGTGCACTTTCTGTCACCCTCACCAGCCCTCTTTTCCTTCCTGTCGCTTTCACCCTCTACCAAAGTAGGTAATGTATTTGATTCATTTACTGTGTTGACTCACTAAGATGTAAGTTCCCTGAGGGCAGACATTTCTGATCTGTGCTTCCCTGCAACCCCCCCAGTTACCCAGTGTCTGGCATTGTTCTTGTATTTGCACACTGCTCTATAGCAATCGAGGAAATGAACTTTTCCGCATTTTCTTTTTCGTTCGGGGTGCCCTCCACAACTTCCCCCAAATCAAATTTCCCTTCTTCCCTACCTCTCCCGAGGTGACCAGTATTGTGAATTTTGGTGTTTATCCTTTCTGTGCTTGTTTTTGTATCTAAGGATGTGTGTACCTATTAACCACTGTGTAGAACTGTCTTTTAGGTGTTTGGGTCATTTTTGTAAATGGTAATACAGCCTTTCTGGGTTAGCACTGAACTGCATGCAGGACTGGGGGACAAATCCAATAAGGTCTGGGATGACTGGTAAGCGGGACTCCTCAAACCGTCTATAAGGAAGGCTTTCCATGTGCCTTGAATAAATGCTGAAACGAATGTGATTCATGCACCAGACAGCAATTAAGCTTTAACGACAAAGAGTGAACCTGTCTGGGTTTTCTCAATTAAAGATTAAGAACCAGATGTGCTTAATGTGCCTGTGCCAGAAAATTGGCCGTTTCTTTACAGTTTTCTCCATTAAAGGGGTCCTAATGGTCCAATCGGAAAATCTAATTAAGAGTTTAAGTGGCCTACAGTTCTCAGTGAAACTTTCTTCCTTCCTTTAGTTGAGGCGAGAGAAGATCGACCTTGAAAATACTTTGGAACAAGAACAAGAAGCCCTAGTTAATCGTCTCTGGAAAAGGATGGATAAACTTGAAGCCGAAAAGCGGTTTGTTTAGTTATGCTGTTCACTTATGGTGGGGGGGGCGAGGGGGTGTCTGGGGCACTGTACCCGGCATGACTGAGGAGTAACAGTGGGACAGTTTAATTCCTTGGTTGCTGCATGTCATTTTAATTTGACAAGCGAAAACAGTTTTGAAAGCCTTTGGACTATCCTCATGTCAGTCACGTCTTTATACTTCTGTCTCACTGTCCCAGCAGAATTTCTTTCACTTGGTGTTAAAGGCTATGAAGAAATTAGTTAAGGAGCTATGAGCTAAGGAAGCTTCGGCTTGTTCTGGTGGATGGTTGTAGTTTCAGCTTTTGACCATGTTGGCCTCCCCAGCTGTTCTCTGAAGTGCTCGGGTTTATCGCACATCTCTAGAATGGACTTCGTTAGGAAGGCTGAGATTTTAACAGAAAAATTACCGTCTATGTATTTTAAGACTTGCTATAAGTATATATTTGTACATTTTAAGGTTCTGGTTCTAAATGTTAAATATATGTACACGGATGTGAAATATTCAACAGCACATATGTCTTGAACCTCTTTGTGCAAGATCCAGCCAGGCCCTTATGTTTAAATATTGTGTACTTTGGGGTATATGGAGCAGGGCTCCAAGAACGGCAGGGAGGTTCTGTAGGTGGCGGCGTTGGGGTGGTGCAGGAAGAAAAGTTTCTTTAAAATGTTCATCCGTCTTCTTCACCAGGGTATTTTGTTTGCTAACCAGAGGCGTTTTGCCATGAGTATTTGGTTTGGATGAACATCCATAAATAAAATAATTTGTTCATCTCAAGATTTGCAGCATTTTCATACCATGAAAATGATTCAAGCTGTGGGTAAACCAGCTGTTTTGTGTTATTGTCGGGATAGTAATAAATTGAATCATGAAAAGTTATGTAATATAATAAATGTAGGGAACCATTATAATATTTATCATACTAGTTTTCTCAACAAGGCCAGGCTTGAGGATAATCCACAGCTTGCACTTGGGCAGACTTAAAGGTAAAAAGTTAAAAACCAAACTAAACCAAAAACTTCCCAACAGTTTATAAGAGGGGGCTTAGCAGTCTGTTGCCAGTCTGTTTTCCTCTGCAGAAAGCAATTGGAGGTGTTAGATATATATATTTATTATATATATATCTAAGTACCAAATTATTGCATTGAATAATATGAAATTGTCATTTTGTAGAATATATTTGAATATTAGCATTTTATGTGCTTCAAACTAATAATAATTGGTAGAAAAGGTGGGACCCCCAATTATTAACCCACTAAGTTTTGGTTTTGTTTGTTTTAAATCTCTTTACCTTTGCTGAGGCCAGAAGCAAAGGGTCTTCAGTCTAGTTAGCAATGCCCTCAGGGCTGGTTTTTCAGGAGGTAAGTTTAGAAGTGAGTCTCTTTAAGGAATGCCACCCTCCAAGGAGATGTATAGTATGCAGTTCATAAGTTTCAACTGGAAAGCAGTGAGAGAGTAAAACTCCTTCAGTATCTCCATTCCCTCAAACCCAGCATGTGGACCATTTAGTCAGCAGATCATTCCAATTGCCTAATGTATGCCAGATACCCTCACTGGAGATTTATTAGTAATACTTAATTACCAGTGGTCATTTAAAAGGAAAAAAAGAAAGTGGATTCTTCAGCTCTGCCCTTTGACCTAAATAAAAACCAGGTAAGGGCAGCGAAGAAGTTGATAGAAAATGGGCAGAGGGGTTAAACAATTTGGTAGATTCTGGCGATTAACGGGCGCTTGCTATTAAAACAAACCTTCCCGGCTAGAATCTGGGGCCTTGTCTTTTAAAAGCAAACTGTTTTTCATTGTTGGAATTTTTCTTTGCAACAAAGAATCCTGCAGGAGAAATTAGACCAGCCGGTCTCTGCTCCCCCATCGCCTAGGGACATCTCCATGGAGATCGACTCTCCGGAAAACATGATGCGGCACATCAGATTTTTAAAGAATGAAGTGGAGAGGCTGAAGAAGCAACTGAGAGCTGCCCAGTTACAGCGTACGTAGCCTTGGCTTTGCTGGTGGTGTGTCTGCAGAATTCGTCCACTTACCAAATGCAGGATTTTACTTACACTTTGAACGTATGTAAATCACATTCATAATGTATTTCATTGCCAGTACATACTTCTGTAAGTCTGTCATCCTGGAGTAGATTATTTTTAAAAATATTGTAGTAGGGCAGGGCAAGTAGTTTAGAATTCTTCTGGGAAATAATTCACATAATTTCAGAATCACAGGAACTATTTCTAACTTTCTCCCTGGTGTTCGTCTCTCCGATTGTGCTAACAGAAGCAGGGCGGGCGACCTCCGTGTGCTTCGGGGACATTAAGGCAGAGAATAGTGTTTATCTACGCTACTACCAAAATTCCGTCTCAGCTAACCCTTGTTCATGGTACTTTTGGAATTTGCCCTTTTTATTTTGGGAAATCAAAGCTGCACCCACAGTAAACATCTCTATACACAAATATAGTTTGATCCCTGTGCAAGAACACCCCGAGGATAAATTCCAGAATGTGGATTTGCTGAGTCAGATGAACTGTGCATGTAAAATTTTAGTGATTCTTATCTTATGTTTTTGTCTCTGAAGTTCATTGCAAGCTCTGTTCAGTCGTGCATCTGGGCGGGTACATGAAGATCAAGATCAGCCTGGGAGCTCCTACTGCTGCTGTAACAGATGAGCACAAACTTAGTGATTTGCAACAACACAGATTTATTTTATTACAGTTTTTGGAGGTCTGAGGTTCAAAATAGTTCTCACTGTGCTAAAATCAAGGTGTTAGCAGGGCTGATTCCTTCTAAAAGCCTCTAAGGGAGAATCTGTTCCCTTGCTTCTGGAAGCTGTCTGCACCCCTTGGCACACGGCTCCTTCTTAGAACTGGTATCACTCCCACCTCTGCTTCCTTGTCTCACCTTTTCACTCTGACCCTCCTGTCTTCCCCTTTTAAGGACCCTGTGATTACAATGGGCCCAGCCACACAATCCAGGATGAGTTCCCCACTCAAGGCCCTTCATCACATCTGCAAAGTCCCTTTGCCACGTAAGGCAACTTGTACACAGGCTTCAGGGATTAGGCTGTGGACGTCTTTGGGGGTCCAGTATTCTGTCTAACCCAATACAGGTTTCTGGGCTTACTCTAGTGGGGGAGCCTGGTCCTCTGTATTTTTTTAAATAGAGGTGATTCTGATAGGTACCCAGGGTTGAGAACACTTATGTATGTGGGTTCTGTGAAAACAAATCAAGGAGTTCTCAAATGCTGGTCATCTTAGGTGAGGCTATGTTTTGAGTTTCGGTGGTGTTGGACAGACAGAAGTCTTTCAGCACTGTTTGAACTTCTTTCGGTGCTGTCAGTTGACATTTTCCTTCCTGGTGCAGACTTGCCTTGTGCTCCAGACATAGTTTTTAGAAGACATTTGGGGAGAATTTTTCATTCTCACTGCTTCCTTCCTACTTCACTATTTGGTCTTCGGAGAGACTGCAGATACCAAGAGAGGCATTGATGGGTGCGATTGCAATTTGGTGAGGACAGGGGTGCTGACCCGGAGCTGCAGCACGTGGCATGGAGCTGCTCACACTTGTCTGGGTTGGGTTTAGAGGATGAGTTCATGACTTGTCCTCCTCTACCTGCCTCAGCCTCGTTGGGTCAGATAACCTGGCCTCCTTTGAAAGCTCTTGGGGCACTTGGCCCCTCCCCACCAAGTCCAGCTGTGTCTGAACTTGGAACCCCCTCTCTGAATAGGTTCTCAGCTCTGGTTGAACATAAGAATCCCCTGGGGAGTTTTTGCTGTACTACTGGAGAGGTGTCATCCTGAGGGATTCTGATTTAATTGATTGGCGTGGGGCCTGGGCATCCATATTTTCTAACCACACACTTGAAAGGGAAGGCAAAATGTCCAGGCCACCTTTGGATCATACGGGAACCACCTCTTTGGAGCTGTCTGGAAGCCACCCTCAGTTGACACTGTCTTTGAATGTTGTGAGATGGCTGAAGATGGAGGAGACGGAAGCACGGCCCCTAGTGTGCGAGTGGAGGGAGGAGGATGACTCAGGGGTGTAAATCCAGGTGCCAGCAGAGGGCACCCAAGGCATGCCATGGTGTCCGCCCTGCACCTGGGTCTCTAGCACCCGGAGGCTTTGGGGCTGGTGCCTGCTCTATGCCTCTGGTTTCTGGGCTAATAGCTGAACAACCAGGAAGTCTTCCAGCTGCCACTCCTGGTGACTGATGTTCTTGGCTATAGATCCTTGTCCAGGGATCGCCGCTGCTGGTTCCCCTAGATGCTAAAGGATTGCCATTTTCTTTGAAAGACAGTGTTTCCTCTTGAGCAATTATTCTTGAAGCCTCATGAATCCTCAGTTCTGTGAAGCTTCCCTATTTATGGAAAAGAAAGGCAACCTTCTCTGACAGCCCCTTCTACTTCTAGAAACAGTAAATACTCCGGGAGGCCAATCTCTTGCCTCCTGTAGAGCAAGTGAAAAATTCTGCACGTGTGCATATTTGAGATGAAATAATTTAAATCATTTATATTAAAAGTGTGCTTTGTAAATATTTTCCCAGCATGCCTTCAATTAAAGCGATTTTTGCATCTGGATTAGACAGCAGGGTTTCTGGTTATGTTGAAAACAGCCAAAAAGAATTTAGTGTTTAGTGCACATAATAGTGCTTAATAATTTTGGTATTTTCATTTGAATTTCTAAAATAAGAATACTCAAAAACTCATAGATTCTGTGACGGTGCTGTCTTGGAAATCACTGAACACTTATCCAAAGTCATTATTTGCTAAAAATGCCAGACCTCCGTAGAGTTGCTTAAAAATGAAACTAATTCAGTGGGCTTGGGAGTTGAAGTAGGGTCAGTTTGTGGGAGAGAAATAAATGGCCAGTGTGGCATTGAGCGCCTTCCTTTCTACAGTATGAAACAGTGTCCCATGAGACTGTCTCTTTGACATGGTCATGGCCACTCTGAACTTGTAGTTGTTTTTCAGAAAAGAGAAGTAGATGGAGATTTCACCTTTTCCAAGTTCATTGGCTGAGACGGAAAAGGGGAGGACACGAGAAGATGGGTAGACGCTGAGTTTTGTATTCAGGTTATTTTGGTTACTTAGTAACAACATTCTGTCTAAGGTAGCTGAGATAGGGGTGGGGTAGGGAGGAATGTCTTGTTACCTTTATTGCCAGGGTGTGTCTGTGCCACAGAACCCTGCATGGAGTAACTCAGATGGGCAGGGGTTACAGCAGCTCCAGGTGACTCAGCAGGAGATTCCAGGGCTCCGTGAAGATGTCAGTTCTGCATTCAGATTCCTGGGAAAAATAATCTGGCTGGCTTAGCCTGGGTCCAGCGCTGACCCCGGGGCTGGTCAGCTCTGGCCTGGAGGCCAGTGCTGCAGCAGAGACCTCTACTCACAGGGCAGCTCCCGTGGATGGGGTATCTGACATAAAGAAGATGCCACCCCAAGAACCTGGCTATGTACAGGTCTTTACGTGCTGTCTGACTCAGAAAGACCATGCATAAGTCAGGGAAACAGAGAAACATACACGAGAAATTAGACTTCATTGAAATACTGATCTAAGTTGTTCACTATGTCAGTTTCTAGTTTGATGAAAAGGTTTAAACCGTTACCCAGCGCATTGAGTACACTGGTTCTGTGGCCCCTCTACAGTGCCCTGGGGGTGCGCTAGCAAGTGTGACCAATGGGTGTGCTCCTGTGGGTGACCTACCCCACTGTGTCTGCAGCAGATTAGGTGCCAGGAGGGCAGCCTGTGGGCTGAGCTTGTCTCCCCAGCAGACTCCCTCCCCTCTCAGCTCCCATGGTGTAGAGAGAGCCCTGGTAGCTGCTCAGTCCAGATTTGGCTGCAGCTCCACCATTTCCTTCTCTATGCAAAGCACCAGAGAAGGCGAGGAAGTAGTGAAGATGCCTAACCTCCCAGCACTGCTTTTCATATTTTTTTCTGAATGCAGATCGTTGGTAAAAATCAGTACTTGGAATGGACTTTAAATCCAGGTCTCAGCTGTTTGTGGGAGAATGAGAATGACTCTCTCCAAACACTTCTCTGTCTGTACCACAGGGGCTGGACGGCTGTCTTTTTAAAGAGAGGAGTCTGATGGCCTGGACCGTGGTTTAATTGAGAACTCTGGCTTTTCAGATTCCGAGAAGATGGCCCAGTATCTGGAGGAGGAACGTCACATGAGGGAGGAGAACTTGAGGCTGCAGAGGAAGCTGCAGAGGGAGATGGAGAGAAGAGAGGCCCTCTGCCGCCAGCTCTCCGAGAGCGAGTCCAGCTTAGAGATGGATGATGAGAGGTGCGTGTGTGTCTAATGAGCGTTGGGGAAGCACTAACAAGAGCCCAGCCTCTGGCCTCGCTTCACGTCCATTAGACGTCAACAGAGGTGGCTGAAACGTTGATTTTTCATAGTGGTGAATGCTGTCGCGTCTAAGTGGATGCCAAGAATGGGATAAATGAAGATTGACCCTTCTCCTTAAACACAAAACGATGGAAAAAAATTGCTTTTCCGAAATTACTTGGTGGGAGAGAAATGGAGGCGGGTGTTGTATAGAGAGGCAGTGTTTATATGTGTTGTGGAATTCACCTAATCCTGCCCTGTTAAGGGCACGGGAGCGTCTTAATTCATAGATCTGGTGAGCAGGCGGTGGGACAGCCTGAGGAAGCACTTGCCTACTCAGGGTGAAGGCTCTGCAGGAGGCAGGCGGGGGCTGTTGAAAGCTGCAGCCTTTGCTTTTGTGCACTTGGGAATGTTGGAGCTTTCTGCCACTACTTTTCCATAGTAAAACTAATGCAGTGCGTTTATGTGCTCAAGCCTCAACATCAAGTCCCCTCATTGTCCCGCTGAGAAATGGGCTGAATAAGGGAACCATCCTTTAGTTAACTAGAGAAAACGTCTCAGTGTTTCTCCCTCATCCAGATTTTCCTCTCCTTCACCACCCACCCTCCTCCCCTGCGCTTGGCAGCGAGGTGAGTGTTAGGATTCAACATCCCATGGGACTGGGCAGCCAGTGTCTCAGACCAGGTCTGCCGATGGCCGTGATGACTGTGGTACTGGCTATTGACACTTGAGACCACGTGAGCAATATCATCTGATCCGCACTCAGGCTCTCTTATGAAGTAGATCCAAAAGGCCAACAGGGCTTTTGATTAACTTTCTGTGGACAGTGGTAATATCATTTCATGAAAAATGGAAGATTTTCTATAATGAACATCTACTTTTATAATTTAAAAAAAATTTTTTATAAAAACAGACTAACAGATCATACTATTTTAAATTTCTTCCTCATTTGAAAAGAATAAAGATGATTCTTTTTCTGGAAAGTTTATGTTACAAAACTATCCTGCTTAACTCTGAATTTCACTGATCTGTTTCTGATGGTGTTTCTCTGAAATTCTTCCCTCTAAAAACAATTGTACTAAAAACATCAGCTAGAATACTAAATAGCTTATTAACTACCTTAAGGCACGGAGCAGACCATGTGTTAGCACACACAGCACGTGGTGCTGGGTTTTTAGAAAGACACCCTGAGGTCACACTTCTCACTGGGGTGACAGTAGCTAAAGCTACTTCAGGTTTGCAGACAAATATTTTTTTTCCAGAACTGGTATTCACTCCAGAAGCTTTGCCTTACCTTTTTAGATCAGATTATCCCAAGTAGGGTACAGCTGCCCTGTAAAGACTTCTCTGCCCTCCTTGCTGGGAATGATGATGTCTTAAGTGAGAGAAGAAAAATAGACACCTGAGACATCTACGGGTGTGTTTAATTCCTTGAAGATCGGAGGCTGTCTTAGCTGCGTAGCTGGCTGCAGAGTACCAGAAGTCCGCCCTGGTGGCACCATGGTGGCCTGCACCGGGGAGGGCGGGAAGAGTGAGTGGGAGTAACCCGAGAAGTGCAGACCCAGCTCGGGGCCCGGTTTCCTTGGAGCAGGAATAATGCAGCGTAGAAACGGCACTGACAGAACATCAGGGCTGAGATCGTCCCTGGGGTGGAAATGCCTGTGCACGTGGCCGTTCCTTCCTTTGGCCGTGCGGCCTGTGCAGGGTCGCTCATTAGGGAGTCTCTTGAGCAGAACTTGCTGCTCATCTGCTCTGTGCTTGTCACAAAGTCAGGTCCGATTTGACTTCCGGATCCAGGAAGGAGACAGACACGGCACGGGGCTACCTGCAGTAAGCAGGTGCTTGGCCCGTGCGCCTTTTATTACATCCTGCATTCTGATGCGTGAACGTTTGTTCAGCAAGGCCTGCCTTGTAAACGATTGGCATGCAGCTCACAGGATCACATACCTTTAAGCTTTAATTCGATGACATAAATCTCAGAGGGCTTGTTTGTGTTTGCCTTTCGGATCACAGTTTAAATGTAGCCACTAGAACGTGGATGTGCCTGTGGTTCCTGGGACGGTGGAGGTGAATTTCTGTGTAGCTGTTGTGTGATGGTGGGAAGCCTGGTCCTCTCTGTGGCACGGTGCAGCTCTGTCAGCAGGAAGCACCCCAGATTTCCTGACCTATAGCCCTGGGAGAGAGCTCTGCCCCGCAGTGGAGCAATGTGACCCTGCAGGCTGTTGTTTCGGGTCTCCTAGCTACAGCATCGCATTCTAAACACTCAGGACTTTGACCTCAAGATGTGAACCCCAAACATTTTCTCATAGGAGCTTTGTTCAGAGCTGTTGGAATGCAGGCTGTTCTCACCATGCCTCCCCTCCTCTTAGGTATTTTAATGAGATGTCTGCACAAGGATTAAGACCTCGCACTGTGTCCAGCCCGATCCCTTACACGCCTTCTCCGAGCTCAAGCAGGCCGATATCACCCGGTGAGTACGTGCTCTGGCCTCCTTCTGTGCCGGGTTTCTGCTGCATGTAACAGGCATCGCTGAGTGTGCTACAAGGGAACATACAAAAATCTTGTGAACAGATTGGTCATGTGTTCTCCAGGAACATCAGAAACAATCAATACTATCATGAGTGAGTGATAGTATTAGCTTGAAATGTTTAAGCATAAATGTTACAGTGCCTACTGGTTTTCTTTTTCTTTTTCTTTTTTTTATAACCAAAGTAATTTAAGTCTACAAAACCTTTTCAGAAAGACTGTCGTTGACTATGAGGTCAAGTGCCAGTGGAGCGACAAAAACCTTGAGCAGATTCCTAAGATGCATGAAAACAAATCTTATGGATTCTCGCATTATATTCTATACACATTATCTCAATTTTAGCTTCAGAATAATTAACCCAGGCATCATGTTAAAAATGAGGAAGCAGTAGACGGCTGCTCTCTGTCTATGGAGTGTGTGTCTACTTTTAGTTTGAACTAAACACCCAACACTGCACCTTTTGGCCTTTCTTTCCTCCTGAGACAACCTGCACTCGGTCTATGGAGTGTACATCTTTCTAAATAAATCTACTTTTACTCAAAAAAAAAAAAATGGGGAAGCAGTGGTTCGGAGATTCAGTAGCCACGGGTCCCGTGGCCGGGAGCGGGCAAGGCAGGGTGTGCCTTGTTTCCAGAGCCTGTGGTCTCTGGAGCATGAGCAGCCTCCTAACACTTGCAGCGATGGGTGAGGGGGCTTGGCCCTAGGAGGCTGGCCGTGCAAGAAGGAGCTGGCTTTGCTCCTGCATCTGGCTTTGCTCTGGAGCTCAGAAGCCTTTCCCTCAAAGGCATGCTTGTCTTCCTCTGACCCCGAAAACTCTCTCCCCGGGGTCTCTGGCTTGGTACCAGCACAGCGTGGGCCTTTTGGGCCAGGAGGGCAAGTAAATGATCCAGCAGGGAAGAAAGAGGAAGTGGGGGTGGGCGCTGGCGAGTGGAGTGAGGGGAGGAAAGATGAGGTAGCCGGCCAGCGGACTGTGTCTTGTGACCCAAGTGACGAGACTGATCTTCTTGTGCTCGCTGGTAAACAGACTTTCAACAGAATTGGGGGGGGGGCAGGGCAGGAGGCGGAGGGGCAGTTTCACAGCAGAAGAAGTGGGGTGATGACATGGAAGGGTGACAGCAATCAAGGTTTTGTGGTTTTGGACAGGAATGCAGCTTCCTATTAGGTGACATCTCATTTCGTCTTTGGTAATAATGAGACCAGGGGAATGCCCTTCTAGTGGACGGGGAAATGGGGCAGTGGTGCCAGCGGCTGCAGAGAGTGGGACGTAGAGATGGTGTGCTTTTATGAGTTTAGGGTCCAGCCCAGCATGAGCTACTGTGACTTTTTGTTTTTTAAGAAGAGAAATTAAAAAAAAAATCCAACTCAAAGTGTGCAGCTTTTGTCCACTTCAGGCCAGCATGCTCCCCAGCATTGCAGGGCGGAGTGAAGAGGTTGGCTGTTTGCCAACGAAGAGGACTTTCTCTGGTGGGTCAACAGGGTGATCATCACTCTTCTTCTTGCCTGAAGGATGTTCCTGAATGCTTCTCCTACTCTGCAGTGGCTGTTAGGTCTCTCCAGAAGCTTCTCTTCCTCGCTGCCTCTCAGTTGTCCCCAAATAGCGCTTGGGTTTCATTACCAGGATAAAGGTCATCTTTGCCTTCTGATTTATGTGTGTAGAAGGAAGTCATAAGTTAGGAAGAAGCAATATGGGGGGTGGCTTTTGCAGTCGGTAGTGACGCTGATTCATATGAAGTATAGTTTAATGTTCTGTTTGATTTGTTTAAACCTAAAGAACTCTTTAGAGGTTTGTGATTTTCAGTTCGTTAAATATAATGTTGTGGTCACTGAAGAAAAAAAAAACCAAAGTCAGACCGTGGTTGGGAGTATTAACTTCTATGGTAATAAATACTCGGCATCTTACTCCTTGTACAGAATTTTGGCTTTTACTGCCCTGGTCCCTGTAGTGTGGGCTTGCTTGTATAGGCAGGCTGTTTGGTTTTCCCTTAAACTACATCATAATAGGTAACACTGAGGTTTTTTTTTCTTCTTTCAGCCAGCCTAGGTGAGAACATTTGTGTCCTGTTTTAAGTTCTGTAATATCATCAGAGTAGATTTTAATCTCCTATTTGGCAGTGGAATTACTCCTATTTTAATCTAGTCCATTGCTGTCCTATACATAATACACATTAGCAAAATCTTCTTTTCACATTAGTTTTTACTAGAAGAAGTTGTGGTTCTCAGCATTAAGAATTTCTACTCACTTCCTTAGTGGAATGATGCTGTTTAGGTTGTTTTCATTTCCATTTTAAGCATTTCAACTCTTCTTCCTCCCTCATCATTTCTGCTCGACGTTGGCAGTCTTGCATTCTCAGCAGCTTACTGGGATATTTTAAGTGCTGTCTCACAATTTGATTGAGAGGTATGATTCCTAGAATTTATGAATGGTCCTCTTCTTGATTGTATGTGGACTTAGGGAGACGTGTGTAGGTTATATATGGGGACAGTATTACTTTTCAACAATTGTTTTTCAGATTGTTCATTGTTTTATACAGTCTGAGTTGTGTATGTAGTCCCAGTTGGTGTGCCTACGTCAGGCATGGGGAATAATGAAGTTTTTAGAAGGGGTCTACACCCTACTAGCAGCAAGCATACCTATCGCCCAGATCTTGGTTTCTGATTGCATTCTCCACTGAGAAGAACTGAGGCTCCATGTAGCAATGGCTGTTCCTAGGGCCTGGAGCAGGGGATGCACAAGATGAACCTGGACAGTCTGGCAACGCCAGAAAGTAAGCAGGAGCTCAGAAACAACAAGTTGAGGGTTGTGTCCAAGAGACCCAGGCGCCGAGAGAGCTCCCAGTGGCCAAAATGGGAACAACTGGAGCAATAAAATAAACAATATTAGATGATAACCCAAACATAGAACAAATATCCGTCAGTTCACACTGATTATTAAATAAGTGACTGAATAAGCAAATAAATGAGGGGGAAGAGATAAATCTCCCATATAGAAGAATTTCAAATAATTTACATAGATTCTCTATCCTCAAGGCAGTGAAATAGCTCCCCACCCTAAGTGTGGACAGAACATAGGGAGTTCTTTCCAAAGAATACAGTATGAAAGGGAGGGAGAAGAGGGCCTTCACAATGGAGAGTCTCGGCGGACACTGCCCCAGCCTGGTGGGCAAGGTCATCTTCCACAGTGGTCAGTCATGTCGGTGATGCGTTCCCTTGACAAGTGATGAGGAGGGCACTCTACCTCTGTGGTCTTCCTCCCCCAAACCCACAACTTCAGTCTACCCATGTGGAAAACATCAGACAATTGAGGGACATTCTGTCTGTAGCAAACTGGTCAACATACCTTAAAACTGACAAGGTCATCTAGAAAGAGGAATACTGAAGACCTGTCTCCGCCAGGAGATGCCTCAGGAGGCATGACAGCTAACTCTAACGTGACATCCTAAGTGGGTTCCTAGAACAGGACCAGGACACTAGGTGAAACCTCGGTATGGACCTGAGTTAATAATAAGGCATCAATATTGGTTTATTGGTTATGACGAAGGTACCATACTAGCATGAAAGGTTAATAATAGAGAATCCGAGTATGTGACATGCAGGAACTCTCTGTATTGTTTTTGCCCCTTTTTGTAAACCTAAAACTGTTATAAAAAATTAAAAATTTATTTTAAAAAAAGCTACTGAAACAGATGAGATCACTTAGTCATGGAAGATAGAGGGAGAAGAGAAAAAACCCTCCCATCTGCTCCTGAAGTGACTCTAATATTTTAAGGTCAAGTACAGGAGGAAACCTGGCAAAGGAAATGGGACATTACCACCAGGGAAGGGGAAGGAAAGTAGGTGTACGAGGTCCCTGGAGTTAAGACACAGCATTTCAGCAAGGGGAGTGGTCAGCCCTGTCCGTCATTGCTCTGAGGTCAGGTGAAATGAGGAGTGGAGAATAGCAGTGTGGCTGGCAGCACGGGAACGCCGCTGACCTTGGCAGGAGCAGCCTCGATGGAGCGATGGAGACAGAGCCAGATGGGGAGCGTTAACGAGGAAGTCATATCTCTAGGGTATGAAGGTTTATAGGGGCGGTGCTTTCATGTGTGACTTATCAAACTAAAATATCTTCCAGGGAAAAAAAGGTGCCTGCCTTCAGTTGGTTCTACATTGTTTTGTTTTTTGTTTTTAGCAAAGATTTGTTAGAGGAAATTTGGAGGCAGTCAGACAGGCATAAAGAAGCAGAAGTCAAGTCACCCAGAATCCTTTTATCCAAGGGCAGTGTTAATAGTTCAGTGTTGTTTTCAAGTGTCCCCTCTCCCTGTCCCCCACTCCTCTTACAGTTTTCCTTTAGGTAGTTGGTTTTCTATGGATTGTACATGTCTGTCTCTTGCTTCATTTTGCTTGGTGTTTTTTGGTCATGAATTGCTTTAGTGAATCATTTTGAAAATTTGCAGTCTTGAGCTTGTGGACAATGAAATAAATCTTAAATAAATTTTTACTTAATGCACTTCTGCATTTCTGTATCAGAGCAAGAGCAGTTTATTCCAGCACTAGCTTCACAGAACCATCGTGTTCTATTCAGGAGGTGTTTTCAACCTAGGTTTTGGGGGGATTCTTATCTTTTATTATATTCCTGGGCCAGAGGATCAGGTGCATGATGATTAGAATTTAAAGGAAAACAGAACTTAGTAAGACACGATCTCCGGCAATTTTATGTATTTTATATAACTAGAAAGTTAAGTAGTCGTACCACCACTCAATCACAGGTTACCCAGCAATAAAAAGAAATTAACTTAATACGCATAGTAACTTGGATGGATCACAGGGGTGTTTTGATGAATGAAAAACTGACCTCAAGGGTTTATAGACCACGTGATTTCATTTCTGTAACATTCTCAAAGTAACAAAATGACAGTGATGGAGAATAGATCAGTCGCTGCCAGAGGTTAGGGTTAGAGAGAAGGTGTGACTGTTAAAAGGACTAACACAGGGGAGTTTCTTTGTGGTGATGTGATAGTTTTGTATCCTGATTGTGGTGGTAATTACTTGCCTCTACACATGTGGTGAAATTACATTGAACTGTGTACACATGCGCGCACACGCGCGCACGCACGTACACACAGTACATTAGAAACTAATGAAATCCCAACACAGCCTGCACCTTAGTCACTAGTATGAGACCAACGTCAATTTCCTGGCTTTTGACCATATGCTGTGGCTCTGTAAGCTGTTGTTGGGGGAATCTGGGTGAAGGGTATGCAGGGACCCTGTAATATTTTTGCAACTTCTTATGAATCATAAACTATTTCGAAATAAAAGATTATGATAAAATTAAGTTACAGTGTTTAAAAGGCTAAATAATTTTAAAAAGAGACTCGAAGAAAGCCGTGCCAGCTGGGAGAGCTTTTGAGCTGAGCCTTGAAGGAGCGGTTTAGCAAGCTGGAACTTGCTGAGCCCTCACTTTGTGCCAGGCCCTCATTTTATCCTCACAGCAACTTAGGAGGGCACTGTGATAATCCCATTTTACAGTTGAGGGGTCTTCTGTCCACTGTCACTCAGCGCCATGAGGTAAAACTAGAGTCCGAGATGATGTGACAGTCAGCTCTAGATTCTGGGCTCTTTGCTCCTTCAAAGGCTGAGTGAGGTCCTGGTGGACAGGGGAGAAGGAGGGACCAGGTCCTGTGGTAAAGAGAAGACAACAGGCAAAGGGCAGAATCAAGATCGGTAAGTTTACTATGGTTCTTCTCCCCACCCAGGAGCCCTGCTCCCCATAGATCTCATTCATCTGATTTGGGGTCAGGCGAGGGCTTCGATACGCGGTACTGTGAACAACTAATCTAGACCAAACCCAGATAGTTTGGAGCCAAATGCAAGCCTTTCTAATAGCCCAAGAGAGATTTTTTTTTTTTTAATTTAGGTCGGCAATAGGAAGTCTTTGAAGATTCTTGATTAGCAGTTTAACACATTCATAATTAGCCTTGTAATACTGGACAATAGGCTTAATCTTATTATTGCTTTTTAAAATTACAAATTGAACCCCGTGAGCTTCTCTATCTGGGGATAAGGATTCGCTTTCAAAGCCTTTCTCCTAAATGTCATCATTTTCATAAGAAATGAAATTAGGGTTGTATTCCCCCAAGGCTGTTTAAAGAAAATCTCTTCTCTCCCGCAGCTGAACAAAGTCCTTGTGATACAAACAAAAATCACAGTAAATGACCACTTAGCTCCCAAAGACTTGTGTTTTACCCTGGACCTCCATTTTGTAAATGGGAACCCAAAATCCACAGTTGGAAATGGAAATAGGTCAGATAGAAAGCAGCTCTAGGTGACAGTCAAACCAAGAAATAGAGGGGAGAGTGTAGCTTAGTGGTAGAGTGCATGCTTGGCATGCACAAGGTCCTGGGTTCGATCCTCAGGACCACCACTAAAAAAAAATAAATAAATAAAAATAAACTTAATTGCCTCCCCCACCCTAAAAAAAAAACAAACTTAAATTGCAAAAAACCAAGAAATAAAATCCTTAACATGAGCTGTTGAGGGCACAGACAAGTTGTGGGATAGGACAACTGAAGGTAGAAGGGGCACTTGTGGCATATATATGGCTTTTGTTTCCTTCATTAAATATCCTGAAGTTGCCAGGTTCTCACTGGTGCTTTTTGTTTGCCTTTGTGGCTGCTAAACACACACACACACACACACACACACACACACACACACACACACACACACACACACACACACACACACACACACACACAC